AGCGTACCTACGAAAGTTACAGCAACGGCTCTTAGCAGGCATCGGCTATTGCGGCGGATGAATGGGCACAGAAGCTTACCTTCAGAAGCTTGCGCTGCTTCGACGGCGAGAAAAAGCAAGGACCGAGAGGGCTGTGTTTTCTTTGCGTGCGGCCAGGGTGGTCTCTCCCTAAACCCTAAACCCGAAACCCTAAACCCTAAACCCTGGGTGGCTCGAAGAGTGTCGGCCTTGCCGGTGCTGTGCTGTAAACGGTTCGAGGGTGGCATCGGCTCCGCAGATTACTTTGGGCCTTTTGCAGATCGGAAAATGCCCTGTAGTATCCGGGTTGGTGGTAGCACCGTTGAGATCTAGAACTGCCTCATGAACTGTGAACGTTCGAAGTCCGAGGTGTTAGGTCCTTCTCTGGAAGACGATGTTGCTGACCGCGACGCCTCATGTCTTCCTTCAGGTTTGCTTCTCCCATTTCTTGCAAGGCGTCCTCCCCGGAAAGCATGCCGATCTTTGTCGCGAACCCTAAACCCTAAACTCTAAACCCTAAACCCCAAACCCTAAACCCTAAACCCTAAACCCTCAACCCGAAACTCTAACCCAAGCAAACTGCGGAGTGCGAAGGCCCAGAGTCGAGGGTCAGGGCTGCTTGGGGGCCTTAGGAGTTACTCCTATTTTGCTTAAGAACTCCCCCCCCCCCCCAAAAAAAAAAAACTAAAATAAAAACGTCATCCTTATATTACCCTTTTAAGGACCCCCCCCCCCCAAAAAAAAAAAAAAAAGAATCGTAATCCTCATATTTCCCTTATAAGGAAAACATATGTTCATTTTTTTATAAGAACCCTCTTATATTACCCTTATAAGGAAAATATATTGTCATTTTCTGGGGGGTTCTTAAGCAATTGGGCGGTTTGTTGGCACCTGCCCTGGAGACAATTTCCAGTCTTCCGACGCGAGCTCCTGCCGGGCTTAGGGATGGGTTTCGGGTTTAGGAATTAGGGTTTAGGGTATTTCGGGTATTTGAGATATTTAGGGTATTTGAGGTATTTAGGGGCATTTAGGTGGGCATTTAGTCGGGTATTTAGTAGGGTATTTTGGGTTTACGGGTAAGGTTTAGGATTCACGGTTTTGGGTTTCAAGTTGGCTTCACTTGGGGTTTTGGGGATCGCGGAGGATGGGTTTAATCCAGCATTCCCTTCCCATGCCCATGACGCCCTGAGCTTCCGAAACCCAGCTTGAAGCCCCCTAATCCCTAAACCCTGCACCCCTCCCCACAGAGACCCGACCGATTTGAAACAGAGGCCCTAAACCCTAAACCCCTAAACCCCAAACCCTAAACCTTGTTTTCTGAAGGCCTTTGGAAA